ATCATCTGGGAATTGAAGTCTGAGCGTTACAATATGATATATAATCGAAATTCGAAATTTCGATTCAACTTCTTACGTTGCGCTCAACTTTTTTCGTAACGGTGCATATCGATATTAGATAATCTAAGAATTATTTATAAATATACTTTATATTAACATATATAGTTGTATATTATTTGACAACTTAAAGATATTCATTTTAGTTCTACAAGCTTGTAAAATTATATAAATCTTACCACTTGTATAAACATGCGTTCTCTTTAGAATCTAAAAATGAAATCCTTAATAAATTCTACTTTATTCATATTTATTTTTGTATGTATGATTTTTGGGATAAATAGTTTTACTCCCGAAGGTAGAGGTGGTCATGTAGCCGCGATAGTTAAAGATAGTATTTATTTTATGGGAGGCTCTCGTAGAGTTTCAGATGAAAATGAAATAAAAAAAAAGTATCCAATAAGAGGTTATAATTTATCAGATGAAGTTTTTTCCTTGGACCTTACGTCATCATTCTCTACAGTTAACCCACCATTTATTGATCTTTCTGGCACTTCACGAATGATATATGGAAGTATAAAGGGTTAGTTATTAAATTTACATGTTTAATCAAGTTTTAGAACTTATTTTATACATATTGTTTAATATATTCATTAGGAGCCGCAGTGTCAGGTGGAGCTAATAAAGATGACGTGTATCTCGTTGGAGGTACATTACAAAACCTTACACTCCTTAATCAAATAGACCATAATGAATCAATATCGAACCAATCACTAATGTTAAACGAATTAATTAAAACTTGGAATGTAACTGATAGAGAAATGAGAGAATTAAATATTTTTATTTACCGCCCAACTACACAATCTTGGTCGATTCCTTATATTAGAGGAGGACCACCAATTAGACGTAGATCAACTTCAACGGTAATAACTCAGGATGGAAAGATATATATATTTGGAGGAAGAGCTGAAATAGATACTGGATCACCTGCCTTGATTCATTTTAATGATATCTATCTTTATGATACCATTACGCCAAGATGGACTAAAATTAATGCAAGCAATGCCCCTTCTGTTCGAAGTCATAGTACTGCGATGTTACTTCCAAATGGTAGAATTCTCTATATTGGAGGTGTTTCTTACTCTCAATCTGGAGACACAAATCTAATTGATATGAACAATGTAATTATTTTAATTAAAATTTCAGAATGATGCTTGTTCAAAATATCCATATTATTTTTATTAGCTTACACTAATTTTTATATAAATAAAATTCTATTACAGATCGCAGTATTCGATACAAATTCTTTAACCTGGTCATCCAAAGTATGTATCTTTTTTTTTTTTTTTAGTGGTTATAATTATATCTTACCATTATTTCTAATTAAATATATAAATATTTTTTTTAGCAAGCAACAGGGATTCCTATTCAGGCTCGAGTAGGCCATACGGCGACCTTAACACCAGATAATAAAATCATTATTATAGGCGGTACCTCAAGTAAATATTCATAAAGTCTACTTCCTTTCAAATATATTTAGTACTAAACAAATATTTGCTTATAGGCCTTGCATATGATGCAGTTACAGCACATCCGGTTTTTATAATGTTAGATATTACAACCGATCCTTATGAATATTCAGCATTAAAAGA